TTTCTTGAATCTTTGCTCATACCTATTAAGGCTCGTGGCTCTTTAAATAATTTTTGTCAGCTGTTATTCTTCCATTGATCCACGTGTCTCGACATGTCAGCACATAATTAATTCCAAATATTAACTCGATTTTCCACAATACAGTTACTAAAAAACGCACCACGGTTCCTCTCTTCCATATCTAATTTACAGCTTAAATTCTACTCACCATTAAAATTTGACCAGAAAATGCACCACTAGTCGTTCAATTGCACCGCAGAACCGTTGAGCTCCTTCAAAAATTACGGGCCATAATGGTAAAACGAATATTGAGAATACCCAAATTTAAAACCTCTAAACTAAAATAAGAAGTCCTAAAATTTATAGTCTTAATAACCCACCTCAAAAACAAAATGTTACAAAGTGGGTCTTGATGAATGTTTTTATTGGATTAACAAGTTAATTTGATTTTGGGGGGAAGAAAGAATAATTTGATTTTGGATTTTGTAGGTTCGAATATGATGGGTTACGTTGAAAAGCTGATTGGTATTGAAAGTTTGTCTGTGGAGGAGTTGGGGTTAGGTGCTGATGGAAAGAAGAAGAACATCAGAAAAGGAAGAAGAAAGAAACATAAAAAGGGAAAGAAGAGAATAAAATAATCTTCATCCTGGTAGTTTGACTTAGCACAAAATTTAAGAATTTTTCTTTTTTTTTAAATATATGATCCTAAAAATTTAAGAGTAAAAACTTTGTGGGATTATAACATTTGTGTGATCATAAAAGTTTCTCAAAGTAGATAAAATAAAGAGTTTAAAGTTAAATTATTTTCAAATGTAAAAATGTATCATTCTTTTTTGAACGAACTAATAAGAAAAGTGTGTCATTTAAATTAAAACAGAGGACACTAAAAAAAAGAAAGAGGAAAACAATAATAATATAGCTAGTATATTTTAACATATGAAGAGGATAATATTTACGAAAAAGAGAAAAAAGAAAAAAAAATTATATTTTTGGATTTTCCCGCAAGTGTCACATAAGCTCAACAGGTGGTATTAAACTTCAAATTAATACATGGGGTTTATTTTGCTATTCCATTCTGTCCGGTCCAGTTTATTATCATTTGGGTAGCGACAAATGGATAGTAAATCCAAGCAACACGAGCACTTACTATAGTAATTTGATATGGTTTTGTGATGTCTTAAAAACAAGTGGATCTTTTTGTAATTATTGCAGATGATTTTAATTTTCCGCAATATTTCCCAACTTGATAGTTGATACCTGAACAAATTGAATGTTCGAAAATTGTGTTGGCCATAGCAAATAATGGTTGACTTAGTTATTTTTGCAATTTATTTTAAATTTGATTTTGATTTGGCGCAACCTACTGGTGATGGTTCATATGCACCCCTTTATGTTCTTTTCTTGCTTTTAGCTCTTGTTAACTATTTCCATGCTTTTCTTTGATTCGTTTTTAACTGTACTAATGACAGTGAAAAACTCAACCACTCTAGAAAAAAGGTGAACGTCCATACTTTAATATAAAAACAACAATACCGAAATGAGATGATTCCTTCTTCTCTTGAAGTATAACGTGCAGGACACACCAAAAGGGTATTTGGCTAAGCTTATAAGCTGGTTAAATTGATTTATAAGCACCTTTTGGTTTATCTACGCATTTAGTAAACATTCAAAGTGCTTATAAGTCAAGTACTTATAAGTTAAAATCAGTCATAAGTTATAAGTTGGCCACCCCCAACTTATGACTTTTCAGCTTATAAGCAATTTTAGTTTGACCAATATTTTTACTAGTTTATCCTTAATAATATTTTCTAATTCACAAAATACTTTTCCCAAAATAAATTTCTTGACTTTCTCTTCATTCCATATTCGTTATTAGTTCTTTTCTTTACAAAGAAATTTTTAATTTATAATCTTTTGAAAAAAAATTCAAGAGTATTTTAGTCATTTTAACAAAAGAATAGCTTATCATCACTTTTTAATCAAACACATCAACTGTTTATTATTTGTCTCAGCACTTCTATCCAAACATGTAAATGCTTATTTTAAAAATCAGTTTCAACACTTAAAAAAAAATCAGTACTACAAGCTTATTAGCTATTTACAATCAGCTAATCCAAACGGGCTCTAAAGAAAAGAAAAAATATAGCTTGTGTCCAGAGGTTAGACATATTTTTATTTAACTTGACAGGTAAAGAGAGAAATAAGATATGAACACGAAAGTTATCGAGAAAATGCGTAAGTGCCCCCTAATCTATAGCCGGACTTCCAATTGCACACTTTATCTTTGCAAAAGTCGTATTACCCCTTTGAACTTTTTAGATGGAATTAGTATATCATTAGTGCTGATGTGGAAGAAAAGAGTGTATGTGACCCACTTCCGAAGAGTAAGAAAGAGAGTGTTGAAATTTTATTTTTATAAAATACTAATCTTCTATTTTTTTTCCTTTTCCTTTTCTTTCCTCGATATTTATGGATTTTGTCGAAGTAGAATTTTGAATAAGGATTTTATTTAATCAAGTATACAAGAAAAGACTAAAGAAAAGAAGAAGTGTTTGGACTGTTGGTTGCAAAAAAAAATTGTCGTCGTGCCGCCATCCTTCGATATGGGTCTTCAGCTTTTCACTGCTTTCAGTGGTGGGGGGATGGGAGTCCTATTTTTTTAATTAATCAAATTTACATACAAAAGAGAACTTGGAAGAAGAATTTGGTTGTTGATTGCGAGAAAGTTTCTAGGAACTCATTGTTTTTCGAGGAACTCACCGGAAAAAAATTTCGCACCAGAAAAAATGGAGCCCTTAAAATTCCAACCACCATTTTTCAGCTTTTTCTCTTCCTCCCTCACATAAATTACAATTTCAATAAAAATTTATAGGAAAAATGCATAAGTACTCGCGACCTATAGCCGAATTCTCAACTACACACTCTACCTTTGCGGGGGTTTTATTACCCCCTTATTTTAAAGTCAAATAAATTTAGCCTTAAAGTACCACAACCAAATTTTCGTTGGGCAGTGAACCACACTCGCTTGACACATTAGATTTCAGTATTAACAAACCCTTTTTTTCCTTTTCCTTTTCCATTTTTCTTATTCATTACCCTAGTCACCACTCACCACCAACAAACCGAATAACAAATATTCACTCATATTTGTTTTTTTTCTGCTGCTACACTTCTTTAAATGGCTATTATAGTAGAAGATTTTTGGATGGTGACTATAATTAGTGATTGTGGGTGGCATAAAGATGATGGATGTTAACATTAAGAGGTGAGTGATGATATATAATATGAGTATAAGTGTGTCTACTAGGTTAAAAGAAGACTTTTTCAGTTAAAATTTTAATACCTCTATTTTTTTCGACATGGAAAGGTTTTTCGATGATGAATCCTCCCCCTCCCCCCCAAATCTGAGTGTATTTTGTTTTGCTTATGAATAAATCCTTTTGAGAGTTTGATTTGTGTGTGAAAGGATAGAAAGAGGAAGAAGAAAAAACAGAATAAATGGAAGAAGAATAGTTAGACAAAGTTGTCGACGAGTGAATATTCGTTGGAATTATAGAAGAAACAAAAAAGAAGTATAAGAAAAAGACAAAGAAAAAGGAAAAGAAAAAAATATGAAATTATATATCTCACTAAAAAATGTAAAAAAGCAAAGAGAAAAATCTGGAAATCGTTTTTTCTTACTTCTCAGGAGAGTAAAATACACATAGTCTATCACGTAAGCTTTAAGAGTGCAAATAATTCTACGTTAAAATAGTTTAGGGGGGATAATAAACCCCCAGCAAAGGTAAAATGTATAGTTGAGAATCCGGCTATAGGTAGGAGTACTTATGTATTTTCTCAAAATTTATACATAAACAAAATAAAATACACTCAGATCTGGACAAAAATCTATCACCGAAAAAAAAATTCGCACATCCTTGAAATTTCAACGATCACCATTTTGTTCTGTCGGTGACCAAAATACAAAGAAAGAGAATAGAAAAATAAATAAAAATAAAAATAATAATAGAATGATAAAGAAATAAGAAAAAAGGAAAAGAAAAAGAATAAAAAATATATACTAAATATATACTCTCTCTATTTTAAATTATGTGAACCTGTTTGACTGGGTACAGAATTTAAGAAAAAATGAAGACTTTTAGAATTTGTGGTCCTAAACAAGTCAAAAAGGAACCTAGAGTATTTGTGTGGTTATAAAAGCTTCTCGTTAAGGGTAGAATTGTAAGTTTAAACTAAATTATTTCTAAATTTAGAAAATGGTCATTCTTTTTTTAATGGACCAAAAAGAAAATAGGTTCACGGAAGTGAGGGAGTATGTGACAGTGCCTTCACAGCTTGCTAGCTAAAATAGTTTAGGGGGTAACAAAATCCCAGCAAAGGTAAAGTGTATAGTTGAGAATTCGGCTATAGGTAGGGGTACTTATGTATTTTCTCAAAATTTATACATATATAAAATAAAACACACTCAGATGTGGATAAAAATCTATCACCGAAAAAAAAATTCTCACCAAAAAAGGGCATACATGAAATTTCAACGATCACCATTTTGTTATGTCGGTGACCAAAATACAAAGAAAGAGAATAGAAAAATAAATAAAAATAAAAATAATAATAGAATGATAAAGAAAAAGGAAAAAAGGAAAAGAAAAAGAATAAAAAAATATACTAAATATATAAATTATGTGAACATGTTTGATCGGGCACAAAATTTAAGAAAAAATAAAGACTTTTGGAATTTGTGATTTTAAACAAGTCAAAAAGGAACCTAAAGGATTTGTGTGATTATAAAAAATTTTCATTAAGGAGAATTATTATTTTTAAATTTAGAAAAGAATCATTATCGTTTTTAATGGACCAAAGAGTAAATATGTTTAAGTAAAGTGTGTGGCTAGGTATTTTTCCCAACGTTATTTAAGCACATTATTGAAGCATGCCGACAAGACAATTGTTCCGCAAAAGTAAAGAGAGAAGCAACAAAAAGGAGTGAGAGAAAACCAGAGATGGCTGAAGCAGCAGTTTCCTTTGTTGCAGAGCGGCTTTTTGATCTGCTCAAAGAAGAAGTTGTTTTCCTGAAAAATGTCCAGGAACAAGTTGAAGGAGTGGGAAACGAGCTTGTTCGGATGAAGTGTTTCCTGAAAGATGCAGATATGAAGCAAGTGGAAGAGCAAGCCGCAACAATCCGCAACTGGGTATCTGAAATCAGATCAGTTGCCTACCATGCTGAGGATGTGATTGAAATATTCATCCACCAAGTTGCTTCCCTAGAACGAAAGAGCTTCTTCATTAAGTGCGCCCTTTTCCCTAAGAAACTATATTGGCTTCACAAAGTAGGGGAAGAGATTGAGTCGATTCAGAGCAGAATTTTGGAAATATCCAACAGCCGGGAGAGATATGGCATCATCTCATATCAAGGGCTGGGAATCGGGGAAGGGTCGAGCACAACACGCGAGAAGATGCGTGAATTGCGACGCTCCTCTCCTTTGGTTGCCAATAAGGATGTTGTTGGCCTAAAGAAGCATGTGAACGCCGTAGTGTCAATCCTTCTAAGGGAGGACAAACGGCTTCGTGTTGCTTCAATTGTGGGTATGGGTGGCCTCGGTAAGACGACTCTTGCCAAAGAAGTTTATAACGAAGCTCACATCAGAGACCAGTTTGACTGTCAAGCATGGATTTATGTATCCCAAGATTATAAACCCGCAAAGATCATCAAGGAACTCATTTTACAACTGGCAAATCCAGAAGAAGATAAAGTGAAGATTGTGGAAACAATGGACAAATTGTCAGAGGCTGGATTGGAGGAAATGCTCCAGAGGCGCTTGGAAGGAAAACGCTATCTGATTGTTCTTGATGACATCTGGACCAAAGAAGCATGGGATCTTCTTGCTAGGTCATTTCCAGACAATGATAAGTCAAGTAGATTGCTACTTACCAGCCGCATAAAGGAGGTTGCTTTGCACGCAGATGCCCATACTATACCGTACGAACTTAAAGTATTGAACGAGGAGGAGAGCTGGGAACTCTTTCTCAAGAAATCATTCCCCGAGGAAAGAGAGTGTCCAGAGGACTTGGTGGACGTTGGGAAAGAGATTCTGGAAAAATGTGATGGCTTGCCACTGGCAATCACTGTCATAGGAGGCCTCTTAGCTGGGAAGAAGAAGCAAAGAAGTGAGTGGGAGAGGGTAAAGAGAAACCTCAGCTCACACCTTGCAGGAAGCCAAACTTATGGCGTATCCGCAATTTTGGCGTTGAGTTATCACGACTTACCTCCCGACTTGAAATCTTGCTTTCTCTATTTAGGCCTTCTCCGAAAAGACAGAGACATTTCTGTGCAGCAGCTCAAGCACCTATGGATTGCCCATGGTCTAATTCATCAAAATCTGGGAGAACAACAGAGATTAGAGGACATTGCGGAGGATTATCTCGATGAGCTCATTGGCAGAAATATGGTTCAAGTGATCCTAGTTAGAGCAGATGACAGAGTTAGAAGTTGCCGGCTCCACGATCTCCTGCGAGACTTTTGTATCATGAAAGCAAAGGAAGAAATATTTCTCATCAATCTCGACACCATGTCCTTTACTGTCCACTCGAGAGGTACGATTATTTGGGAAATTCAAAAACTTATATAAGATCTCTTCTGTCCTTTGATTCATCATCTGCTGAACTAAACCTTGATCGTATTTGTACAAGTAGTAGTTTCAAACTTCTCAAAGTGCTATACATAGATTCTCCTGGTTTAAATGTTATCTCAGATAGTATTGGGAAACTAGGTTGCTTGAAGTACTTAGGCATAGGATGGAAGACACGCATAAAGATGCTTCCCCCTTCTTTAATTCGGTTGAAAAACTTGGAAACGATTGATATGCCCATGTCTAGGCATTATTCTGTACTAATTCCTAATGTCTTGGGGAAGTTAGAGAATCTGCGGCGTCTGCTTGGTTACATAAATTCCCCGAGCCTATTGAAGATTGACCTACCCAACAATCTCCAAATTATAGGCAGCATACCTGTTAAGCACTGGATGCATAATGAAAACCTGACAAGAATGACTAATCTCCAGAAAGTTGGTTTGTTCATTCAAGATGATCATGACCTAGACATGGATCGATTGTGTGATTCACTTGCGGAGCTTAAGAACCTTCAGTCCTTGTGCTTGGAAGTAGAGGGTCGCTCGCAAATTTCTCTGGTTGCTGGTTTATCTAAGGTGAGTCATATTGCCAAGCTTAAGTTGAAGGGACGGCTAGCCTCAATGCCAGCTCATCCTTGTGTATTTCCGCACAACCTTTGTCAGCTGACTTTGGTGAACTCCAAGCTTCATCCAGATTCAATCCAAGTGCTGGAGAAGTTAACCAACTTGTCAGTTCTAAAACTAGTTAACGCTTTTGATGGAAGGACACACTATGACAGTCTAACAGTATCAGAGAATGGGTTCCGTGGGCTCATGTTTCTCAGGGTGGAACTACTAACTATGACAGAAATGAAGCTAGGGAAAGGTGCAATGGCAGGACTCAAACACCTGCAGATCTTCGACTGCTACTCGTTGAGGAAGCTCCCAGAAGAGTTGATATTATTGACCAACCTTGAGAAGCTGGAGATTCGAGGAATGCCTGAAGAATTTTGTGCTAGGCTTCAAACTTCAGATTTTCACAAACTCCAACATATTCCCAATGTTGTGGTTGGACCTCCTAGTACAAATGAAGATGAACTGGAGATTCTTGCTTTGCGTGATAAGATCAGGATAGGGTTCATGGCAAATATGGCAGCATTAAAGTTCATTGATAAGGGGAGGATGACGAATGTCAATACTGATTGATTCTTTTTATTTTACTAGTGCCTTTTTGGCTACTACTGTATTTTTCTTCCACTAAGGAATGTGATTCTTACCAGTTAGGGTACATGTAAACTTTTTATGTATTTTTAGTCCATCAAATGAAAAGGGTCGATCATATCTAGGTCTTCTTTCCATTTTTTGCACTAGAATTGAGTGTATTTGGTACGACGACAAAAAAATCTCAAGAAAAACGTTTTCTAACGTTTAAGTTTTCTTACGATTTCGAAAATGTTATCTCCACGCGAACTCTTTCCTGTCAAGTCTTTTATTTGTTTCAATTACAATATTTAGACGATGTTATTAACCTGTAATACAAAAGTACCGTCTGAACATTTTCGGCGGCACTTTACAAATGGATCAGATATTGCAACTATTCCTATTCGATGGTAAAGCCAACTAGAATATCTCCTTGGTTGCAAATTCGAGTTCATTACAATTTCTGCTGAGTCCAAAACTTTTTTGATTTTTTTTTTGGGACAAAAAATACTTTTCTACTACTTAAAAAAAAAGTTACATAAATGAGTAAAACGCAGTACTATACTGCGAACTACTTTAACGGAAATTAGTCCGTTAAAGTAAAACGCAGTACCATACTGCGTTTTACTTTAATTTTTTTTTTTTTGTAATTCGCAGTATAATATTGCGTTTTATACGAAAATCTGGGCCCACCTATATTTTATTAAAGCTGTTCGCAGTATTATACTGCGTTTTACTTAAAACGCAGTATAATA